CACGTTCTGATCGCCATTCTTCGACATCTAAATCTGGTGGAAGGAGCTCACCTAATCAATCCATAAGTAGTGAAACATGGTTTTCTGGTCATGAAGCAGAGGATAACAATAATGAGAATGCAAAAAGCAAGAGAAGGCTGAACCAAGAATCTGCATCTATAGACCGGCATCGGCAGGAAAGGTTGAACCAAGAATCTGCATCTTTCCGGCATCGGCAGGAAATGGTTCGCTCTCATAGTCATGAAGAAGCATCCAGCTCATCAAGCTCAAGGGAACATATGAAGGGCACAAGGGTGGAAACATCAGCTTCTCCAATTGTTTTAGAGAGCAGTTTACCATCCAAAACTATTACACTGCCTTCTGCTGAAGACACGCCTGGGAAAAACTTCGAAGGTACCTCTGGCTCAATTGTTCCAGAAGGAGGGCTTCCACTTCCTTCAATTCAGGTGCGGAGATCACCCGTTATAGAAGAAATAACAGAAGCTGGACAGGCTGTTCCCTCTAGCAGTAGCGAAGGGCAAGCAGTTTCAGAGACAGCCGTTGTCTTCAGTGAAGTATCAGGGTCTAAGGTTAAAGATGCTGAAATGAGACAGAGAAGGTTTCTGAGGTCCGATCAATTTGTAAAAGACAAGTTTGATGAGTGGGAAGAAGCATTCAAGCTTGAAAGCGAGCAGCGGAAAATCGATGAAATATTTATGAAGGAAGCACTAGTGGAAGCCAAAAAGGCTGCTGATAACTGGGAAGTACCTGTTGGGGCTGTGCTGGTCCATGATGGAAAAATAGTTGCTCGTGGATGCAACCTGTAAGTCATGGTGGCTTATGCTTTTTCCTATTTCTTCTTTTGTCCTCCTTAGATATTGGCTTTCACATAAAGATGCATGTTTCAGTGTGGAAGAACTGCGCGACTCTACTGCCCATGCAGAAATGCTGTGCATACGTGAGGCTTCAAACACACTTCGGACATGGAGACTTTCGGTAGTTCTTTACACTTTTATACTCTCTTAAAGATTAAGTGAAGATGCCTTCTAATTTTTATGGCTACTGTATAGGTAGGAAAATTAGTGGGATTTCACTGGGTCGTTGTTGTTGTTGTCGTTGTTGTTGTTGTTGTTGTATAGGTAGGAAAATGGAAGCAGCACTATCAAAACTTTTGTACTCTTTTACTAAAACTAAATTTAGACGAATGCATTGGCAAACAAGGAAAGAATTATATTAGGCAGACATTCAGTAATACTTTGTTAAATGTGATGTACATGGGGGTTGAATATGATAAATAGATTTCAACTTTAGGTTACCATACACTCTTTTCTTCTTTGGTGCGCTTTAGTTTTTTTGTGTGTTTTGATACATTAAACGATTTAATTGACACTTAAATACTAACATGAATCTGGTAAGTAAAGTAAATAAAAAAAGGAGAAAGAGTGCAACAGTTGCATATTCTTTCCCTGAACATCGAACTTTTCTTTGACCAATAACTTTCAATTCTTTTCTTTTTACAGGATACCACACTTTATGTAACACTTGAGCCGTGTCCTATGTGTGCTGGAGCAATACTTCAAGCTAGAGTTGATACTGTTGTATGGGGAGCTCCGAATAAGCTCCTAGGGGCCGATGGCAGCTGGATTAGGTAAGCAACATCATACATTGTTCATTCAATAGCTTAAACAGTCGTCAGTTAGTGATTTATCATCTACTCTGGCAAGGCTTCGAAAGTAAGAAATGGAACACATAGTTCTTAGTTTGTAATATAAAAAACTTTTGAAATTCATTCCTGTTCGGAACTGGCAATAAACCATAGGAACAGGTTCCTATGGCAATACACTCACAGCAGTAAACGATCTTATTAGACCCACCAAAATAAGAAAGACAGGATCTTTCAGAAAATGGGTGCGTATCAAGATTATATCCTACTATAAATCTCTTTTTGTTTCATTCATTAACTTTCTGAATTATCAAAAATTTCTAGTCTTTTAAGATAATCATATTTCTTAATCTGAGGATTTTATGAGCTCACGGAACAGCACTTTTTTGCCTTTCTTTCTGGCAGTACCATAGTTTGCTTAGATATGATGAATATTCACAGTTTTCTATGTTGATATATGCTGTAATAGTTTTCTTGTTTCGTGGTGTAGCATCTAGAATAATTTAATTGTTTTGCTGCTTTTCAGAAACGTTACATAGTTATGATTTATTCTTATTTTCTCTAGTTAAAGAATAAAATTCAAAATATGGAGTTGAAGTTTCATTGGTCCTCATGAAGTCGTAATTTTAAACCTCTTAGGGGTTTGGTTTGCAGTTTAATTATATATGGATTATATACAAGGATTATTTATGCGGTAAATGAGAATGAATGAATTTTTACATGGTGAATTTTTATGGGTGGATTGTAATACGGTGGTGAATAATGCTGCAGTGGCTGTTATGCAGAGATTGCCTGCTTTAAAGGCACTTTTGTCTTTAGTTGTCTTATCCTCGTATTACAATTTGCAGAGATTACCTGCTTTAAAGGCACTTTTGTCTTTAGTTGTCTTATCCTCGTATTACAATTCTTACTTCACATTCTATCCCGTATAAAATAATCATAGATTCTCGTATAAGTTATACTAGTATTGTTACTTATAAACAAAACAAGCTATACAAGTATTAGTAATATGATGTTTGGTTTACAGTGTTAAACTCCACATCCCGGTATTAAATGTCGTATAAGTTATGCGGAGTTTAATACCTGAAACCAATTGTTGAATTAGCTTTATGGAGATCATATCAGTAAATTTGAGTTCTATATCGAGAACCAAACACAATATAAGTAATTTCGAATTTTATACCAGGATTGAACATCCCTATCCCTCAAAGCAAAAACCCCTTTAAAGTGTCAGTCATGTTCTTAACCGTCAAAATTCTTCTTATTTATATGTAGTAGTTACATACTTATATTAGTTCATGAAGGAAAAGTGAATAAGTATGGATCTGGAAGTTGTGTTGTTTTTCTTCTTTATCGTTCAAGTGAATAATTATAAGGATGTTTGTCCTAAAAGACTTCCTAGTGTGTCCATGTTTTTCCTTGATGTATTATCCTCTCCCAAAGTCATGCGTGTAAGCATTCCTCAAGTTCACCTCTTTCTTTCTCACCCAAAGACATGTGGCTAAGCATCCCTCAAGTTTCCCTAAATGCAGCTCTCTGTACTAGTCAAATACATAGAGTGGTGTAAGTAATGTTCAGGTATTCTTCCAATTGTGGTTCCTTTGTTTTCGCCGTTCGTTATTACTTATTTTTCTTGCTACTTCCCTGTCACGACCCGGATTTCTCACCTCGGGAGTCGTGATGGCGCCTACTAATATGAGCTAGGCAAGCCAATTATTGAACCATCTACCTTTTTACCAATTTTATTCTCTTTAACAATTACGAAGAAATAACATTTAAATAACGAAATATAACATAAGCGGAAGAAAACAATAAGCCATCTGAACATGAATATCTATTACAACTGTTTTGAGTCTCGACTACCCAGAATTGGTGTCACAGTTTCACAGACGGTCTAAGAATACTACAAATAAAGGTCTGAAAGAATTAATTACAACACTGTTTCTGGAAATACATGTAAGAAACAGGAAAGTAGATAGAAGGAGACGCCAAGGCCTGCGGACGCCTACAAGACTACCTCGGGTCGCCTGATGATCAAGAATCAACAATGTCACTGCGGTCCGAAGTCCACAACACTGGGGTCTGCACAAAAGAGTGCAGAGCCAAATCAATGCAAAAGTCAATATCCCTGTCGGGCGGTATACCCGGCAGGTTTGAAGGGAATACCTTCGGAAACTCAGCCCATTTCTTTCCCGCCGTATCGTATGGCCCCGCCTGAGTTGAAAGAGTTGAAAGAAAAAGTTGCAAGACTTGCTTGAGAAGGGTTTCATTAGACCCAGTGTTTCACCTTGGGGTGCGCCGGTGTTGTTTGTTAAGAAGAAGGATGGGTCGATGAGGATGTGTATTGATTACCGGCAGTTGAACAATGTTACGATCAAGAATAAGTATCCATTGCCGAGGATTGATGATTTGTTTGATCAGCTTCAGGGTGCTTAGGTATTTTCAAAGATTGACTTGAGATCTGGCTACCATCAGTTGAGGATTAGGGCATCCGATGTCCCTAAGACAACTTTCCGCACTCGGTACGGGCATTATGAGTTCTTGGTTGTCATTCGGGTTGACAAATGCCCAACAGCTTTTATGGATTTGATGAACCGAGTGTTCAGGCCTTATTTGGATTCGTTCGTGATAGCCTTTATTGATGATATTTTGATATATTCCCGCAGCCGGGAGGAGCACGAGCAGCATCTTAGAGTGGTTCTTCAAAACACAAGAGGGATGCTGAGTATATAAGTTAACAAGCCTTAGACCCTAGTGACACGTTTTAAACCCGTGAGGGCCTAGGCCCAGAGCGGACAATATCACTAGCGGGCTGGGCTGTTACATTCCCTTAGCATAAAACAAGGTTAAATGAATATTTCTATGTGACCCGAAATTGGATTGCCTATCTTGCCACGTTCGCTTGATATTTGTGCGATTAATAGTACGTGCAGCTCACTGCAGAAGAAACTTTGTATTTTGGTTTTTGAGGTAAAGGCCTTATAATTCATAATGTTTCAGGCTTTTCCCTGATGGGGATGAAGGAAGTGGCTCGGAACCAACAGAAAAACCTCCTGCTCCAGTTCATCCTTTCCACCCAAAAATAACAATCAGGCGCGGTGTGCTAGCATCAGAATGTGCAGATGCAATGCAGCAATTCTTTCGACTAAGAAGGAAAAAGAAGGAAAAGAAGTCAGATCCTCCAACACCACCTTCATGTCTTCCCATTTCAAGCCATCAGCCAAAGTTTCTCAGCAAGATTCACGACGTGTTTCATATCATGTTCTGCTTGTGATATTTTTTTCTGATTTATCTTGCTGTAAAATTGTATTGATAAAACTCTTCTTTCCCCGCTCTTCTTTGCGTGTTAAAGTTCAAGATCAAGTCAACTACTTCTGTTCTTTTAACTTCATTCTAATTAGACAGGATCAATATGTATTATGTGGCCAAACCTCTGAATTAATTAGCAAATTATTGTCATCAGGATTAGAGTTGTAGTTATTTACTTCATGCTCTAAATACTAAGGACTTAATAGTTAAGAGAAATGGAAATTGCCACATCTATTGCATGACATGAAAGAAAGAAAGGAACCTGTTTTCACAAGATATTTGATTGAGACTAGGTACCAAGGTATAGCTAAAGTGTCAAAATCAAGAATATCAGTAAAAACAAGAAAAGTTGGTGGTATTTTGTTAACCTTAACTCTAGTTTCATAATCATCCCTTCTTGTGTTTGCATTGTTTATTTAGTAATTCAATCTGCCATGTTTATTAGCACCTCAGATTAATAATCATTAATTACAATTTTGGTAAATAAAAATTATTAAAATATCTAACCACCTTGCCTTTGCTGCATAGCCAAGTATAAGCATCCACTAATCATTTCCACACAATAAATGCAGTTCATCCAAACAAGAGCATAAAATTGACCAACATCATGAATTTTAGTAAAAGAGGGACTCAACAATTATCATTACTACTTTGCTTTTCCTGGAAGAAAAAACTTGCTAAACAAGGGAGAAAAGTATTATTAGTACTTTTTCTTTGCAATGATGCATAATAAAGTTCTTTTTTCATGTTCTAGATACGTTGGGTAAAGCACTTCCTATCAAAATGTTCATAATAAAGTAAATTTCACTTAAATGAACTATGAGAAGATCCCAACACAAGTTTCTAACTGAACCACCAAGTCACCTACATTTGGTTCCTTAAAGTTTATTCTTTTTATTTTATTTTTACCCGGTGTCCGGTACCTACATTGAGGCCCGGCTAAATCCGAATTCGCGCCGGAAAGTCCCACATTGGGGTAAAACGCTCCATAACAAAGGCGACTCCACACTCGGGGGTTCGAACCCGAAACCTCTGATTGAGGATGAAGGAGTATTTACCACAACCCTTGTTGGTTTATTATTTACCACTCCTTAAAGTTTATTTGCTATATAGATTGAAATCATTTATAACTATTTAATGATAGAAAATAATAGGCTAACTAAAAAGCATGACCTACATACTCCTTTATGCTTGAGATGGTAACTGATAGCAATAGATGACCAATACTATATTTTCCTATAGACTGCAAATCTTCTGATGCAGAAACATACAAGACATTAAGCACATTTTTGGTGTAAATATTGACAAATGATGATAGTTGCTGTAGCATTCACATCAAACTATGTTTCCCCTCAAAGCATGTCCACCAAACTCTTTCCTTTCCAGAAGTAAAATAATATTGTTTTGTTGCATATAAGTAGAGAGCTCCTGACAATCAACTCACTACACAAAATGGCTTCCTCTCAGTTTGTTTACCTTTCCACTTGCTTTTGCATTTGGCTAGTGATGGCTAATGCACAAGCACCAGCAGCATCACCATCTACACCTACAACCACACCTCCACCTACCACAACACCAGTTGCGGCATCACCGCCACCTGCGACACCTCCACCAACCACTACACATCCGCCTTCTACGACTCCTGTTGCACCATCACAGCCACCAGCAACTTCGGCAGCACCTCCTCCGATATCAGTACCTTCACCTAAAGTTGCCCCAGTCTCCACTCCAACGACCCCACCGCCACAACCTCCATCAACTCCACCGGTCTCAAGTCCATCACAACCACCTGTAATGCCACCACCCGCTCCTGTTGCTTCTCCACCGGCACTCCCGCCAGCTTTACCTCCACCTAAGATATCCCCGGCACCAGCACAACAGCCACCATCACCAGCACCTTTACCACCACCAGTATCTCCACCTAAGGCCCCACCAGCACCAGCGCCGACACCAGTCACTCAACCACCAGCTCCTCCACCAGCTATTGTATCACCAGTGGCAGCACCAGAATTAGCACCGTCACCAGCACCAGCTCATGGCAAGCACAAGAGAAAGAAGCACAAACACAAGCACCATCACGCGCCAGCACCTGCACCAACTGTGCCAAGCCCACCAGCACCACCAACAGTCCAAGAATCTGTGGAAGTGACACCAGCGCCATCACCTACTATGAATTTGGTAACGTTTCCATTAATGCTCCTGTCTGGTAACCGTAATTATTCTAATAAAACATAGTACAGACACATGTACAGTTCTAATATGATAAATTCACTTATTCTCTCTCACTTGACTGCAGAATGGAGCAACGGTTTTGCTGCAAGGAAGCAGATCTAGAATGTGGATGAACGCTGGTTTGGCGATGACTATTCTTTTGGCCATCATAATCTGAGTTTCCCACAGATCTTACATGAAAAACTACTATATGATTCATTACCAGAAAGAAAATTTTGAAATGCGATGGGACTAATTATGTGTTTAGAGGAAAAATAATGTGGAATATTATTGTCATTTTTTTTATCTCACCAATATTCTTTTCGTCAAGACATTTACATCAATGTAATTGACTTTCTCTCACCTACAAAATGGCACTATCAATACTATCACTCTCTTGCTGGATCCTACACGTATATAATCCATAAGCTTCAGTCAATCTTGATCAGCATCTGTATCCATATTAATTTCATCCTTGAAACTGTACTCAACCACAAGTCCAAGGTTGTCAACAAATTTATGATACTGAGAGCACCCTGAACACTGAAAGGAGAATCTTCAGTTAATACCCAGTCAATTTGAAGATTCTTTGATAATAAAAAAGGAGAACAAGAACAGAGGCAAATAAGATAGCTTTACAGACGATATGCAAAACTCTATTACTCATGCTAAACCAAAGGACCAAATGATTGACACAGTAAGCAGTCAAACACTATTTTTTGTAACATAGACAAACATTGATGCTTCTGAGAATGCCGAGATGATGGAAAATATGAAATGTGCTCAATAGGCTTAGTAGGTTAATCCTCAAGAGGCACCTTTTACTTTTCTGCACAAGAAAAGCAAACACAAAAGGTGTTTTTCAAGGTCCCTCACCGCTCACTCAAGGAGTAAGATGTTTAAAGGGATCAAAATAAGCTGTGATAGCACAAATTAGACAAATAATTGTCACGATTGGTTCTGAAACACCGATCCAGTGATCAGACTTAGTTATATTCGAACCAAAATAAATGATTGACTTGGTAATGGAATATTCTCACTGAATAANCCTGTTTTTTTCCCTCTTTTCTTCATTACCTACAAGTATGAAAGCAGAAGGAAATATCCAATACTGAAATCTGGGAGGTTAACAGACTTAAACAACAACAAAATATTACACCTATCATTTAGACTACAGTGAGTTGTAGGCGTTGTTATTTCACTTAAGACAATTGTTAGAAGTACTGATGCAAACAAGATGTCAAATACTTAAATCTTGGAATTGTAGTTGTTAAGTCTGAATCATACATGATAAGTATAAGGTCACCATTAGCATCCAACATACTACTGAAGGAAAGTCACACCTGATAAATGTGCATGAGCTAAAAGTTATTTTATTCACGGAATAAGGTAGTGTGAAAGATCCCATATGTCTCTTACAATTGAGTTGGCTCTGATATGCCAATCAATATTTGTAAGCTTATATTTTAACCAAATGTTTTAGAAAAGATAGTTCCAATGAAGAACAAATGCAGCATTGTACAAAACAAGTTCTAGTAAGGCGATTACCCATTAATACCTTCAACGGTTAAATCACCCATCTAACAGTTCTAGCCTTAAAAAATCATGGTGAACATACACAATTAAGGGAAGTTATTTTGGTTTTGCTATTACTCATAAAAAGTTTAGCTTGGCTTTGCAATTATCAAAAGCTTAACAGCACCGCACACACTCAAACCAAGTACCTGTATAAACACTGTCCCTCTTTCATATGCTAATCTGTTTATGAGTCTTTGTGATCGAACTCCACAAGCATTACATGTGAACGTCACTAATAGACTTCTTCTTGGTAGTTTCAAGTTAATAGCTGCTTCCTGCCAGAAAAAAAAATGACACTTAAGTGGCCAAAGAGCAAGTAGTAATTCTTTTAATTGCAAATTAGAAGATCTAGTCATTCTTCGCTAAATATGGGGTCTAAACGTCACATCTTCCAAATGAAGCTAAGTTACTCTTTTCTAAAAATGAGGTGTCTAGTCTAGGTGATAACTGACAACCATGCATCAAAAGCCAATCTTCCCATAAAACTAGTAAAAAAGAGGAAGGGAAAACTTAACTCTACAGAAAACAAACCAATAGAGACAAACAAACACTCTTTTACAAAGTGCAATTCATAAACTAAGGATTGCTTTAACCAGTTAAGGTACAGAGACAAATATGTCTCATCTTTATATCCCATCAAAGTATGTCTGTCTCTAACTAATTGGTGCTCTGTGTATGCGGAAGTGTCCAACGGCGGAGCTAGCATTGAAAGTATGGGTTCGGTTGAACCCAGACACATTGGTCCAAACTCCGTATTTGTAAAAGAAATCTATTTAATATGTACAAATTATTAACTAAGAACCCAGTAACTTAAACGTGCTAGAATTCCGAACGCATAGACTTCAAAATCCTGGCTCCACCTTTGGATGAGTCTAGACTCCAGAGGCTCAAATATTTCCCGTAGCTGTTGGCCTAGATATTCAATATCGTTTGTAAAAAAATTCATAAAGAATGCAAAGAACGGCAACAATGTACCTTTGAAGAATCGCTTGAAGAAGAAAAATTCCCAGATTCTGGATGTGTTTCAGAACTATCTTCCACTACGCAAGAAATCATTGGAACCCGGAACAAATGTTCCGATGCTCTCCTACTCCCATGAATAGTACCAGACCTGTTATATAAAAATAAAACATAAACATAGCATTTAAACCATCACAATCCTCATACATTCTACCTAGTATGACAACAACGACACCGACAATGCCGCCTCAATCACAAAATAGCTGCGGTCAGCTATGCATCCTCCATATACATTTAGCTCATATATCCATTCCACCCGATTTGGGCCTGTTTCATTCCACTACTCAATTTTTTTTGTTCTGAATAATACAATAACAACACTAACTGCGCCTCAATGAAAAACTAGTTGGGGTCGGCTATACATATCCTCTATATACATACTTTTTCCAACTCTATATACATTTTGCTCCACTTGGACCCGATTCATCCCACTACTCAGCTTAACTAGGTATTACATAGTACAACAACAGCTACTACTACTACCACACTTGGGGCCGGCTATACAAATCATCTATATCTATTCCACGCCATTTGGGGTCTGTTCCATTCCACTACTTAGTTTTACTTAGTTCAATATAATACAACAATATCAACTACTAAGCCTCAATCTCAAACTAGTTGAGGTCGACTATACGAATCATCTATATCTATTCCACTTCACGTTTACCCATTTTCCACTACTCACCTCTACATAGCAAAGTTCAGGTTTTTTTCTTTTAACATCCAGTAAAGTTAAGATTTTATACCAACTACAAGACCCTTTTCATTCCACTACTCAATTTTACATAGTAAGAAAAAAAATTCTACATAGCAAAATTCAGATTTTTATACCAACTACAAGACCCTTTTCATCCACTACTCAATTCTACATAGTAAAAAAAATCTACATGGTAAAGTTCAGATTTTTTTCCCCTTAATAACCAATAAAGTTCAGATTTTTATACCAAACTAAAAGATGGGAATAAAAACACATGAAAAAAGAATGGAATTGGAAAAAAACATGGGGCATAAAAGCTTACCTTGTGGATTTGATACAGTAGCCATAGAAATTAGGTCTGAAGGAATGAGGGAACGAAAGAGAATAAATGGGGACATGGGTTTTGATGCTGGTAACAGATAAAGAGCAAAAAGAATTTAAATTATTAAAGATTTTACTGTTTCCTGTTATGGATGTTATAGCCATAGATGAAGGGGTTTTGAACAAAGAGAGCAGAGGTTCTGTGGTAAATGGAATTTTGTAGTTACTAAAGAGGACTAATATGGATTCCGTTGGAAAGTCTCACTTTAAAATATTTTTAAATATTTTTTTTTAATTCTTATGACTTTTATTTTTTTAGAAGTGATTAACAAAAGATTCAAGAATTGAGAAAAGGAGTTTAAAGGAAAAATAAATTATATTTCAATTGTTTTTAAATTTTTTTAATACCATCCTCTTAACAAATTTAAAAGATTGAATTTCCATGTGCATGTGACAAATTTAAAAGGAACTAATTTCTACTTGGTTATATATTACAAGAAAGAAAAGAAAAGGCTTGGGTATTAATTTACAACTTTTATGTTTTTCTTTTTATAGTGTGCGATAAGATTTTACTAATTGTACAGTTTTCTTGCTCAAAATTCTGAAATTTGTGTTTGCAGCTTGCGAATTACTAAAAACAAAAAATAAATAGAAAAAGAAAAGAAAATGGTGATAATATTAACATTGTTCTCATTCCAATAGTATAAGCATCAAGCAATGAGATGTGATAAGATAATAATTCGAGATTGACGCAAAAAATAGGGCGTCATTTTCATTCACATTAGAAGAATTTTTTTAGTTTACAAGTGTGGATTATTTCCTAGAATATAACATATTACATAGGCCCAACCAAAAAACCAAAAAAAAGAAAAGAAAAAGAAAAGAAAAGAGAATAGAGAACAATTTGACAATTTTATCAACTTGTTCAATGAGATAAGGGTCATAAAAAAATAATTTTGCATGACCCTTATATTGCAAATTGGAATAATTCAATCTTGTTCATCTACTTCATGAAAAGGAAGTGGCACTGTTTTAACAGCTCTAAATTTCCCTGCATTATTTAGATGCTCATTCTCCAACCTGTTCACATTAACAATAATGTCCATTAAACAAAATGCCATTTAACTTGTATATATTGACAGTGTAATTATTTGTTATCGGTATTAATCTTTGAGAAAATAAATAGAAGGACAGCGCGGTAGCCGATGCACTAAGCTTCCGCTATGCACAGGGTCGGAGAAGAGCCGGACCACAAGAGTCCATTATACGCAACCCTACCCTGCATTTCTGCAAGAGGCTGTTTCCACGGCTCAAACCCGTGGTCGGTGCACTAAGCTCCCGCTATGCACGGGGTCGGGAAGAGCCAGACCACAAGAGTCTATCGTACGCAACTTTATCCTGCATTTCTGCAAGAGGTTGTTTCCACGGCTCGAACCTGCGACCTCCTAGTCATATGACATCAACTTTACCAGTTACGCCAAGACTCCCAGAAAATTAAAGTACCTGTAAAAATTCCATTGCCCTCTCCTAATAACTTCAAGGGCTGCTAAAAATAGCCCAGTTACTCTGTAGTCTACACTTCCAAAATTATAATGCAGAACTGTTTGTAACCATGCTAGCCTCAGTACAAGGTTCAATCCCTGCACATACCAAATTTCTTATATCAACCCTTAATATTTTGTTATTGCTTTAATTAAACTTTTTTGGATAGGAGGATTAGAGTTAATACCATGGAGAAATAGTAATAAATTTTTCGACGAAGCATTAATTCATTCCTTAACCACGGATTCTTGGAATGACACTGAAGTAAGCCCCAATCTTTAACAAAATCCCAGTATAATTGATACACAGTTGCAGCACTTGACATTACTACAACTAAGCAAAGCCATCCTATATTCTTTTCTTTTTCATATGCAACTTTTGCTCCTGCAGCTAACATTGCAGACACATATTTTCCAAGATTCACTAGGTGGCTTTTGTGTCCTTCGTCGAACCATCTTCGTGCACACTGCAAATATCAGAATCGATTAAAATTTTTAATGCAAATCATATGAATGTTCAATGTTAAATCTTGAAAAGGTAAAAGTATCAAACCTGCATTGCTCTCCAGTAGTATGGTAAGAAAGAAACTGCATAAGCAAGGTCTCTATAATATTTTGTCCTCATGCAATAACCATAATCTTGAGTTTTATAGCTTCCAGTTATGTAGTAACATGCTACATATTCAAGGTTTCTGAGCATTGGAACCTGTTTCGTAAACGAAAAATTTACATCAGCAAATGTTTGATATGTCACAGAACTGAAAAAATACTATACTTGGTATTTGCTGATTTCTTGCTAACCTGGCTACAAAGTTGATCAGCCATAAAGAAGTCTAACATGACAACCTTATACAGAGGTGATAATATGATGTTCCTTATAACACAAATGAAGCGATAACGGCTAGATTTGTAAATGATGTTGAATGGACACACCAGCAGCATAATGAAGACCTGTTGTTAATAATTGTGATTAGTTCTGCATACATTCAGTACAAAAGATTGAACTTTTTGGTCAGATTGTTTTGACTAAATAATAGTGAGAAAATTACCAATAATAAGAGGCCAGGGATTGCTTGAGTTTGATTATAAGAGTATCCTTTTGCCACAAGTGTGAGATGAAGAACAAGGACCCCGACAACAGCACTCATCGATGCAGTACATATGAGGAACACATCTCTGTACTTGAGTTCCTTAGTTTGTGCTAGCTCAAAGATGAAGCTATAGTTTACACGAGTTTTTCGCCACATAAATATGTTGCATCCATACAGAAAGAAGTGCAAGAACATTAAGCTGAACATGCTGCACAATCATTAGTGTAAATCTCCATTAGATGTTTGAAAGAAATTCCAAAGATCTATTGGTTAAAGTACATTTGACATATTTAAACTATAATCCAACACTTGCCTGAGAATAGGATAAATAGTTTCCATGTATATTGTATCAGATTGAGGTTTATACATTCCTGTTATATGAGCCATGATCACATATCCGACGAAAAGCGCTAGGAAACATCCTGTGAATAAACCTGTTTTGAAAACCAATCAAGAATCAAATATAGTCAGTATCCAGTTTGGTAATGTGAAACTATATCTAATATCAAATCTTGTTTCCTTTTTTCATTGTTCTTTCAACATTAGACCAGTGCCACAGGTTTCATGTTATGTTGGTTTTTAAGATTTTTAGGTCACTGGTTAGAGCCCATGGATACAGCCTCTTGCAGGAATGCAAGGTAAGGCTACGTACAATAGACCCTTGTGGTTCGGCCCTTCCCCAATCCGCGTATAGCGGGAGCTTAGTGCACCGGGTTGTCTTTAGATACATGACACAACTCATATCAGTCAACAGTCTTGATTTTGACAAACAGGAGATGTACAAAACCTTAGAAAAACTAAGCACTGTTGTCTTTTTGAACACTAAAGGGTTATTTAAAGTTTCAATATTTTTGGTCAATAACATTATAATGGCCTAAAATGGGACTTCTTTGTCCTCCACTTCTGAAAAAGGTGGACCCTTAAGTCTACTTTTTTTGTTCTTCAGGTGGTTAATGGCTGATTCAAGTCCTACTTACAGGACAGGATCCTTTTTATGTTGATCACATTTTGTTTTTATCTGGCTATCCTATAAAAGAAGTGGTAACTTGGACAGAATCCACTTATGTATATTATCTTGGTTATTTTCTTTATGTACTTTCAATTATGAACCACAAGGGGAGCTTTGGCGTAACTGGTAAAGTTGCTGCCACGTGACCAGGAGGTCACGAGTTCGAGCCGTTGAACAGCCTCTTGCAGAATTGCAGGGTAAGGTTGCGTACAATAGACCCTTATGGTCCGGCCCTTCCTCGAACCCCTCGCATAGCGGGAGCTTAATGCACCGGAATGCCCTTACTTTCAATTATGAACCAATTGTTTTCATGGAACTCACCAATGAAAAAAGGTAACTGCATCAGACTCGTATTTTTGGAACTCACCCATAAAAAAGGTAACTGCATCAGACTCGTATTTTTGGAACTCACCCATAAAAAAGGTAACTGCATGAGACTCTTTTTTCTTGAACTCACCAATAAAAAAGGTAACTGCATGGGACTCTTTTTTCTGAGCAGGTTTGAGGTATTTCATAGCCTTCTTTTTATCATCTTCAGCAAAGTGTTTGATAAAAATCTTCTCAACATCATCAGCCAACTTCAAAGCCTGTGTGACAAATATAATGTGTTAGACAACCATATCTTTCAAATCTAGCCATTGCTTGTGTGGAAAAGCACTTCTTTTTTTCTCTTTAAGATATGACCACTTAATACTTTCTAAGAATAATCTGCTGATGATATTTGATAAGATATCTATTTTCACTTAGTGTCCCACATTAAAAGACATCCCGATGCACCAAGCTCCCGCTATGCGCGGGGTCCGGAGAAGAGCCGAACCACAAGGGTCTATCGTACGCAGCCTTACCTTGCATTTCTGCTTTTCCACGGCTCGAACCCGTGACCTTCTGGTCACATGACAATAAATTTACCAGCAACCTGTGCCCCACATTACTACATCCAATCATCTTCCAATAATCAAACAATGTCATGCTGCTACATTTTCATGTTCAAAAAGATATCTTTTAAAAAGAAAAAGTTGAACAAATAATTAGCTTTCTGATTTTATTTATTTTACCTTATCTGAGCTGTTGAAGTAAGAACTCTCCACAACTCTTAAATAAATAGGAAGAACTTGTTTGTTTGTAACCTATGAAAAGAAAGAACAAAAACAATGAGAAAGTTAACTTGGCCATAATAAACAGTAAAGTGAAAAAGTTGCTAGTAAAAATTTACTTACTTTGTCAAATTTCTTCAAGATTTTTACAAAAGCTAGCATGTTCAAGTTCCTGTAAAGATTTCAACAGTGTAAATTGTTTTGCCATCTCTATTTTGCAGAAAAAAACAATCAACAATCAAACAAGAAGTTAGTTTTCGCGCAACATACCTATAAGTTTTAAGGAATCCTAGTCCTTTGTATAGCTCAATAAAGGCTCCCCTGATCATCTTCTCCGCGTGTTTTAGCTTCGTTCTATTGATGTGCAGTTTTCGTCCGTCTGTGCCACATTTCTTGGAGGATTGATTGATCATATCATCCCTAAGCAAATAAGATATAGCTGAGAATGTTCGCGTTGGATTCGTTAGAGGAATGTGAATCTTTAAGCTTTTCCCCTGGATATTGATCACTCGTTCGGATAGGCTTTTTGATTTGCTGTCTTCCCTCTTGATACTAGTTGATTTTCCTAGTTCACTTGATCTTGGAGAGTCTGTCAATTGTCCATCATTTTTATTAACTTCATCTATTGAATTCTCTATGTCCTGTTCTTGCTCTGTTCTGTCTTTTGTGGACTCTTCATCTGTTGCCAATTAAATAAATGTTTTAATTCAAAAATAGGAAATTATCATTAGATGAATGCAAAGTATAAAAAGATTCTCAAAAGAAATGAAAATGAGTATTACTCCTTAATTTATGTTCAATTATGAAAATGCAAACATAGAAGAGGAGCCTTGGCGTAAGTGGTAAAGTTGTTACTATGTGACCAGGAGGTCACGAGTTCGAGCCGTGGAAACAACCTCTTGCAAAAATGCAGGGTAAGGTTGCATATAATGGACTCTTGTATTTCAACCCTTCCCCGGACCCCGTGCATAAAGGACTAGACTGAATACATATCAAAAACATGAAACAGAGTTAAAACAGGGGAAGCTAAATTATGTAAACAGAATAAAGGACTAAAATAGAGACATCTAAAACATAAAAACAGAGTGAAAACAGGGGAAGTCTAAATTATGAAAATGTAAACAGAAGCTAAAATGGAGACATCTAAAACATAAAACAGAGTGAAAACAGGGGAAGCTCTGTACCACAAGAAATGATGCCTGAAATTGACTCATCTTCTTTTAAGGTTTGGCCTGAAGAAGTTCCTGTATCATGATGTTGTTTTAATGCAGCTTTTAACTCAATGAGAATCTCCATTTGCTTCTTCAATGACTCTCCTCTTTCTACAAACTCTTTCTCTTTCGTCCGAAAAAATTTGTTCACTTTGTTAAGTTGAAGATCCAAGAGTGCAAAAAACTCAGCAGCAGCCTCAGTATCAGCAAATTGCTCCAACACTTCAGTCTCATACAAATCGCCCTTACTTAACGTCTGTGCAAGCTTCGTATGAACCTAATCACGATCAAAATCCAACACGTTCCACGTTAAAATCAAGAAAACACTTAGAAAAACCAATCAAATGTACAGAAGGAGAGAAAAGATGAGTACTTGAATGACACCATGTTCGCGACGTTGAGGTCCAAAAAATGGCAATTTCCTAATAGAGGAAATAAGATCATTGGTAAAACTACTATCTTTGTTTTTGTTTTTGTTTTTGTTTTTGTTAGTTGCATTATTGTCAGTATTGAGAATAGGGATTTTCTTGAGGTCTTTTTTGAGTTGCCAATAATCAACAAAAGCTTCTTTCCATTCAGGAACTAATTGCCCTTCAAATTGTTTAGAAAACTTCACCATTTTTCTGCAACAAAATTTTTCACAAAGTGCAAAGAAAATGGCAAAGGCAAAAGTGATGAATGAGTGAAGTGTGTTTGGAATGAGGAGAAAGATTGAAATATTTAAGGAGAGGGAAAAGGGAATTTTTTTGTAATATGGTACAAGATTCTGAAGAGGCACAATTCAAATAATATCCAATGGTTATCCTATGCTCTTTCCACTTGTGATATTACATTTGATATAAGTGTTTAGATTCGCCAGAAAAATGAACAAAATATTGCTGAATGTAATATGTATATAGTATATGAATTCTTGGCCAAAATGTGTTGTTATGAAATTTATTTGAAAAAGGTGGGACTTTTATTTGCATTCAAGGGCGTGGCCTAGTGGTCAATGAAGTGGATGAGAATCCTGGTACGAGGTGGCAGGTATTCTGTGAAATTAGTCGAGGTACGGAGGTGGCAGGTATCCTGTGAAATTAGTTGAGGTACGCGCAAGTTGGCCCGGACACCATGATTATTAAAAAAAAAATTGGGAAAATTTAAAAAAGTTGAGATCATATGAGAGAAAAAGAGTGGGTCCTAAGGCCCTTTTTAAGCTAAAAACCAAAATATGGTACTACCTTTTTCTCCTTTCGTTCTTTTTTTCTTTCTTTTCCTTTTCTTTTCCCTTTGTAATTTCCGTTATGTTCTTTTATAACTTTTCATAACGTTAGAAGTACATCACGTAATTCACACATAACTAGTCATGAAGAAATCCACCACAAAGGGGTGTGTTGAAATGGTTGAAATCCTTCCCCTCTTAAAAATAGATCTTATATTCGAGTCTAGGGAATGAAAAAATCTTGATAGAAAACAATATTCCTTTTAATGGGAATTAAACGTAGCTAATCCGAGTTTAGAATGGTCATGCCAAAAAGAGAAGTTACAAAGAAATCCAACAAGTAGCAGGAGATTAATTAATATTTGCTGACGATATAAATTTTTTTTACACTATCGGGTCATCTTTATATGTTGTAGCTGGTAACCTACCTTATTTATAAGATTGCAAATCTAAATATTGATGTGCCGTCATTGTAAATCCAGGGGCGGATATAGGGTCAAATTAGGGTGCACGTGAACCCGTGGTCTTTCCACTAAATTAGGTATTTTATGTAAGTGTTTTCCTAGAACTAATCTAATATTATATGATCGTCCTCATGTTAGCTCCTACTTAAATTATGTTTATTGTGTGCATGTCTTGTTTTCATTTTCAATAAACCCGACGAAATGAAATTAGACGTTTAATTAAAAACAAGTGAAATTACACTAGCAAAAAGCACGTGCTTATGTCATTAAGAAGAAACTAAATCGGAACACTTTTTCCTCATTTAATTATTAATTTACTAATCTAAGACCTTCTCTTTTTAGCATGCAATAAGGAAGGAAAACTTGATTAAGATCATGAAGTTTCTGTTAATTAGTCAACAATTCTTCATTGAAAATATTGCTTATTGGCCCAATAATTTACATAAACACATATAGCTTAATTCTAATTAGACCAGACTGATTTCCACTACATTGAAGATAACAAAAATAGTTACTTTATTATTTTCAGTAATGTTACCCATCTTCCCCACTTTCACTAACAAAAAAGATTTTGTTTTGTTGTATAAAAGTTGGTGTTATTGGCATTCAATGTTTAAAATTTAAAGGCCATATTTCCAATCAATGCTTTTTGACAGCCTCTTTATTGACCTCTTATCTTTTTTTGAGAAGTATAATGGCCCATCAAAATTTATTACTTACCAATGTTGATCATGATAAGTAATTTTAAATATTAATTGGGTATCTAATTGGAAAAGAAGTTTCTAAGTGAAATTTGCCTATATAAGTAGGACTACTATCTTAACTTATATACTTGAAAAACCTCATTTCCATTGCACTTGGTTGAAAGATCAGTCGCATAAGTCTACCGTACGCTGAATTGTGACTAAACGCCTCTAAATTAGAATACGGACTAGAAGCGATGCATGCGCCCAGTCGTCACTTGCCGACTCGCAGTAAAGGGCTGGGAGAAAAGAGACTCCTTTTTTGGCTCTTCGTTTCTCCCAAATGTTTAACCAAAATCTAAGCTCTCAATGATGGACATACATTACTGTATAATGTTAAATTGATATTTCCATCAATATTTCAAATGGTCTAGTTGGTATTTGCGACTTGCTATGCTGTGAAATTCCATCAAACGATGTTCCATCGAACTTCATGGTCAAGTTAGTATTTGCGACTTGCTATGCTGTGAAATTCCATCAAACGATGTTCCATCGAACTTCATGGTCAAGTTAGTATTTGCGACTTGCTATGCTGTGAAGTTCCATCGAACGAAATGATCAAGTTGGTATTTGTGACTTGCTACGCTGTGAAGTTCCATCGAACTTCATGGTCAAATTGGTATTTGCGACTTGCTATGCTGTGAAGTTCCATCGAACTTCATGGTCAAATTGGTATTTGCGACTTGCTACGCTGCAAAATTCTATCAAACTTCTCATAAAAATACAAAAACGTATCGTCCACTTCATACAATTTGTTTGGCTTGTTGCAACACATATTGTCTTCAGGTGAATAAATGGTCCCACAAGGTCATGGGTAGTCATACTTTACACATTTTGATGTCGCTTATATGCCCTAGAACATTTAATTATAAGGTATATAACTTGTATAAAATGTTTTTTACGCTAGAATTTGATGAGTGTTATGTCCATATATTATTATATATATGTACACATGTATATTAATATTGTACATATTTGCTTTGGACTAGTTTCATAATTTTTCATATTCCTTTTAGCAATTTTCTGTTTTTATTTTTAAAATATTCGTGGAGCTTGTGCCTTACTTATGATTATTTATTGGCAAAAAAGTGCCAACTTATGCCCCATCTTTTAAGACACTACTTTCCATTATATTTTACTTTCTTACTTTTTGGTTCACTATCAACCTCAATATTTTATTTAGCTTCAGATTCTTTAAAACTTAATCATTAACAAATAACAGCATAATATGATAAAATATATACGCAAAGGCATGGAGTGAGTGTAAGTACACGTGATTTCTATCAATAATTTACTGTTATAAGTTATCTCAAATTAAATAATCTACCAGAACAATTAAAAGCTGCACTATGCATATATACGTACTATCTAATACTAAGTTTATATCAAGCATATGATAAACTTAATTAGCCAGCCGACTAATGATATGAGAAAATTAGTTAAGGGAATCACTAGATTAAGAATGAGTAATGGTTTTGGGAATATAATCCAAATGGAGCTAAGTGATTATAAAATCTTAATTATTTAATGATAATAAAATCCCTTGTTAAAGTTTAACTTAATAATATATAGAGAATTTATAATGACAACTTACGTCTAATGGATCTACTAAAGGTAGTATAAACTCAGCATATGCACTTATCTACATATACATACATTTCCAGATCTAGTGCGAGCTTTCTATTTAATTAAGATAAAACCTACGTAAAAATAACCCAAAACGAGCTTAAATAAGCATATATTTAGTAACCAGAATCAGCCCATTACTGAAATAAAAAAGGGAATTGGTAGATATATAAGTGATTATATTAGTTGGGAATAAAATCTTGACGAAATATTATAAGTATGGATAAGCATCAAATATTTGAAATATTTGTTGCTCGGAGCCTTCAAAAATATTATTGTATCTGTGTCGAATCCTGTAAAAATACATCACTTTTTAAGGATTCGACACGCACCCGACTAACGTTTTCGACTGAAAGAAGTTATCGTCATGCTGGAAGTACTACTACTAGTCTGAGCAATACGGCAATATTGTCGTATCTGTGTCGAATTCTTATTCCGTTGGACATCTCTTTGATCGTTCTTTCGGCATTTTCACACGCAGCAACAAATTACAGATCAAGTGTCTCGGCTATAAAGCTCCATTTCTGTGTCAATTAATGTTCTTAAATGTTGAGCCCCGTCAAAGTAAGTAAACAAAATTGAAAATACTACCATTTGACTGGGTGATGTATTATATGTACGACAATATTTGTTATGACGTGCAACAACTTTCTAGTCATTTGGGATGGTTAATTTCTAGAATCTTGTAATCACATGAATGGGCTCTGCGTTGTAATTCGTAAATTGCGCGTAATAAAATGGTACAGTTAAAATATAGTACTATCATTTAACCGAAAATTGTTTAATATAAAAGATTAACGATTGAATTTTTACTTTTACCCACAAACAAATGAAATAAACCAATGTTGCCTTATCCTTCATTGATCAATCTCACTTGTTGTACTTTTTTTCTCATACAGTAGCATCCACAATGTAACTATATGAGATTTGAAAGTCTTGTTTAAGGGAAGAATTTCGAGACAAGTGTTATTCTGTCACTTGTGTTTTGCTTCTTCGCGAGATTATTCTCTCGATATTTTATATCCTCTTTTACATAGTGGATTGCTCATCCCGCCATGGACGTGGTTAATTGACCGAATCATGTTAAATGTTTGTCTTTTTTATTGTCTGATTTATCGTCGTTCAAGATTTATTTTGCTAGTCTCCGCCCGAAAATAACTTCTTGGTCTTCACTCTTCGATCGAGTTGACTCCAAACGACTTAGTGCTGACCAGAAAATATTTGCCACGTGTTGACTCTTTTATCGGTCATGTGTCGTGTATTTTTTAGCATCTTTGGTCGTTCTTTCGGCGTTTTCACATGCAACAACAAATTATAGATCAAGTGTCTCGTCTATAAATCTCCATTTCTGTGACAATTAATTCTCTAAAATGTTGAGCCCCGTCAAAGTAAGCAAGCAAAAAAGACAAATTTTGATGGTCAAGTTTTAAATCAATGGTTGACCGAGGCAGATCCATGATTCAAAGGTTTTGGGTGCCAAAATTTTTGAACGTAGTCATATTACAAGTTATTTTGTCTAAATAAGGTATAAACTTAATCGGTTTGGTCTATTTGAATTTCGGTTCGGATTATTCGTCTTTGGAGTTAATATAAACAAATCGATCGAGAAAAAGATTATGTAATAATTATGATAACTTGGAAAAAATATAAAAATTCAACTAAATCATGCATTTTGTACAAGAAAAAAGGCTCGTTATCACTTTATATTTAGATACTTAAAACAAAAACTTATACTAATAT